CCCATGCCCAGTTTCCATCCAGTACACCCTATTACTGTGCTCCTGCGGCAGTGAATGAACAGGAATTCACATGCCTGGAAAGGAACTGACAAAACAAAGGAAAAAACCTGAAGTGGAAGGCCAATTACAAAGACAGGATCCAAGAGGCAGCTCTCTGGGTTCTCAGGTGCAATGTGAGGAGACTACAGAGGAACAGCTGCACGAGAGAAACGACACCTGCACTCCTGGCTCTAAGAAGTCTCCTGCATACACTGCCCAAGGACAAAGCCTGGAATAAGATCCAAGCTGGAAAGAGATTTCTTTGAAGTTTCTTCCCAAATCTTAGAACTCCTCCTCAAAAGGGGAATTCTAGCAACAGCCTGAATAGCGTGCACATTCTTACAGCTGTCTGCTTTATTTATTACAACGGTAGAAATCATGATGTGGCACCAAATAATTCCCAGGTGAGGCTCATCTATCTGTAAGCCAAGAAATTGTATCTCTAAGCAAAGGCTTTTGTGCCTTATGAAGTACCACATACATACTTCAAACAGGAACTCACACTTCAAAGCCTTGAATAGTACTTGGTCCTGCTATGAGGGTAGGGGACTAGATTCGATGACCTCTTAAGGACCCTTTCAGTTCTACGAGATGGTATATCTCCATATTATTATATTCATAGAATCATAAAATACTAGGAGTAGAAGGGACCTCAAGAGGTCATCGAGTCCAGTCCCCATAGCAGGACCAAATACTGTCTAGACCATCCCTGATAGACATTTATCTCACTAACCTACTCTTAAATATCACCACAGATAGAGATTCTACAACCTCCCTGGGCAATTTATTCCAGTGTTTGACTATCGTGACAGTTAGGAACTTTTTCCTAATGTCCAACCTAAACCTCCCTTGCTGCAGTTTAAGCCCATTGCTTTTTGTTCTATCCCAAGAGGCCAAGATGAACAAGTTTTCTCCCTCCTCCTTATGACACCCTTTTAGATACCTGAAAACTGCTACCATGTCCCCCCTCAATCTTCTCTTTTCTAAACAAACCCAATTCCTTCAGCCTTCCCTCATAGGTCATGTTCTCTATACCTTTAATCATTCTTGTTGCTCTTCTATGGACCCTCTCCAATTTCTCCACATCTTTCTTGAAATGCAGTGCCCAGAACTGGACACAATACTCCAATTGAGGCCTAACCAGCGCAGAGTAGAGCGGAAGAATGACTTCTCATATCTTGCTCACAACACACCTGTTAATGCATCCCAGAATCATGTTTGCTTTCTTTGCAACAGCATCACACTGCTGACTCATATTCAACTTGTGGTCCACTATAACCCCTAGATCCCTTTCTGACATACTCCTTCCCAGACAGTCGCTTCCCATTCTGCATGTATGAAACTGATTGTTCCTTCCTAAGTGGAGCACTTTGCATTTGTCTTTATTAAATTTCATCCTATTTATCTCAGACCATTTCTCCAATTTATCCAGGTCATTTTGAATTATGACCCTATCCTCCAGATTAGTTGCAACCCCTCCCAGCTTGGTATCATCTGCAAACTTAATAAGCATACTTTCTATACCAATATCTAAATCGTTGATGAAGATATTGAACAAAGCCGGTCCCAAAACAGACCCCTGAGGAACCCCACTTGTTATGCTTTTCGAGCAGGATTGTGAACTATTAATAACTACCTTATAGTAGCCCCATCTAAGTTGTATTTACCTAGTTTATTGATAAGAACAACATGTGAGACCGTATCAAACACCTTACTAAAGTCTAGGCACAGTAAACTTCTGATAATCCGGCACCTTTAGGACCCAGGGGGTGCTGGATTATCAGATTTGCCAGACTATCAGAAGGGGGGACTATGAGGGGTCTGGGGTGGGGTGGGGGAGATGCCACCCCAGACCTCTCATAGCCGCCCTTTCCAATAGTCCGGCTCTGCCCCAGGCGTCCCTGATTCAGCCGCTGGTCAGTTTTCGCAGCAGCTGAATTGGGGAACCTGGGGGCAGAGCAGCTCCAATGGTCCGGCTGCCCGGAGCACTTCCGGGTTCCTGATGGTGCCGGACCATCAGGAGTACCGGACCATCAGATGCCGGACCATCAGAGTTTTACTGTATATCACATCCACCGCTTCTCCCTTATCCACAAGACTTGTTATCCTATTAAAGAAAGCTATCAGATTGGTTTCACATGATTTGTTCTTTACAAATCCATGCTGGCTGTTCGCTATCACCTTGCCACTTGCCAAGTGTTTACAGATGATTTCCTTAATTACTTGCTCCATTATCTTCCCTGGCACAGAAGTTAAACTAACTGGTCTGTAGTTTCCTGGGTTATTCTTATTTCCCTTTTTATAGATGGGCACTATATTTGCCCTTTTCCAGTCCTCTGGAATCTCTCCTGTCTCCCATGATTTTCCAAAGATGATAGAGGAGGTATCTGAGCCTCTAGCTATCAGCTCCTTGAGTATTCTAGGATGCATTTCATCAGGCCCTGGTGACTTGCAAGCATCTAACTTTTCTAGGTGATTTTTAACTTGTTCTTTTTTTATTTTACCTTCTAAAACTACCCCCTTCCCACTAGCATTCACTATGTTAAGTGTTCCTTCAGACTTCTCAGTGAAGACCTAAACAAAGTCGTCATTGAGCATCTCTGCCATATCCAAGTTTCCTGCTAAATATTATATATAATATATTATATTGTTATACCACAAGCTACAAGATAACAGTGGTATGACTTACAGCATAAACCAGAGGTTCCTAGATGCTATTTTTATATGTCCCTTTGCTTCCATAGAACAGTAACATATCTCATTGGGCAAACTGAGGACTGACATGCAAGGTGTATATGTGTATTAATGATACAGGATGCACACATTTCAGAATATTCTTCCTTACACTGGGGCACAGAATTGCCTGTCAGGGATGGCAAGATGGTTTTTGGAGAGCAGGATTGCCCTAACTCCGATCCTTTATCTCCTCATATAAAAGCAGGTAGTCTGGCAATCACAACAGGGTTCCTATATAAGATCCATGTATGTGGCATAAGAGTGACCTCCAGCGGCCAGAGTCAAGATGATTAAACAAAGATTCTTTAAATCCTATTCACAACAGTCAAGTTCACAGTAAATCAGACTATTCTGAGGCCAACATTCAATAAGTTTATGGAAGTGCAAGTGAAACACTACAGTGAAGAAAGTCAAACAACGATCTAACAAAGAAATCTGGGACACTGAGCGGGTGAGGTAATATCTTTTATTGGACCAGTTTCTGGTGATGACACACACAAGAGAGGAAGCATCTCAAACTTGAAGAAAAGCTCTGTGTAATCACAAAAGTTTGTCTCTCACCAACAGAAGCTGATCCAATAAAAGATACCACCTCATAGGGATGTAGCAACTAGTCGCTTCCCCCCTGCAGCCTCTATGGGAGGGTGGGGGGGAGGGAGAGCAGGAGCTGGGGGGAGGTGGCTTGAAAGCGAGGCAGAGGTGTAGTGGGGGACCAGGCGATCAGGGAATCAGCTGATTCCTGGCTTGTGCCCATTCCCTCCCCACTGCTGTGCTTGTGTTTTTTAAATATATTAAGGCCGCCAGGAAATTCCATTAGTTGATTAAACACAGTTTAATATCCCTACTACCTCCTCCACTTGTTTCACTAATATCCTGGGATAACAGTATTAGAACACTGCATATGTTAAAAAAAAAATCTTCCTCACATTTGACAACTCTCCCTGAATAAAACTTGAGAAATCTTGAAGAGAAAATGAGACCTGGTTTTAAAATTCTGCTTCAATATCAGGTTCAATGATCCCTATATTAGATCCACCTCAGTAAAGCTAAACAGTATCTGCCAGTCAGAAAGACTGAGCTCTAGCCAAGGAAACCAAATATAGGAGCCTACCCACAACTCTGGACAGTTCAGTCACAGGAGATACTATAAACAGGACTATGTAGCACTTTAAAGACTAACAAGATGGTTTATTAGGTGATGAGCTTCCGTGGGCCAGACCCACTTCCTCAGATCAAATAGTGGAAGAAAATTGTCACAACCATAGATACCAAAGGATACAATTAAAAAAATGAACACACATGAAAAGGACAAATCAAATTTCATAACAGAAGAGGGTTGGTATCTATGGCTGTGACACTATTTGACCTGAGGAAGTGGGTCTGGCCCACGAAAGCTCATCACCTAATAAACCATCTTGTTAGTCTTTAAAGTGCTGCATTGTCCTGTCTTTTGTTTCAGCTGCACCAGACTCACACGCTGCGTTTCTATCACTATTCTAGGAGACACTGGCAGGGAACAGACCCTCTCCCGGGAAAGTATCCAGAGACCGGACACTCCAGGGATTTCTCTCCAGCAGCCGAGCTGACTGAGCGGGGGCCTCTGCTCTTCCCACACAGGAGCTGGGGAGGGT